GGCCAAAAGAACCAACATATCTGTGTTGGAAGAAGTGCAGCCAGAGTGTTCCTTGGAGGTTACAATGGTCAAACTTTGTCTCTCATACTTCGGACATATTGTTAGGAGGGACCAATCGCTGGAGAAGGATATCATGTTTGGTAAGGTGGAGGGTCAGTGAAAAAGAGGAAGACCACCAACAAGATGGATTGGCCAAGTGGCAGCACCAATGGACTCAAGTGTGGCAGTAGTAGTGAGGCTGGCCCAGGATCAGGCAGTGTTTTGTTCTGCTGTGTATAAGGTCACTATGAGTTGGTACCAACTCAACGGCACCTAACAACAACAATAGGGTGTCCGAGGAGCTGATGATGGGTTTGAACCACTGACCCTTGAGCTTCTATAACTGTTGTGTTTTTTGTTAATGCCCTCAGGTTAGTTCCTACTCACAGTGATAGAGCGTTTCCGAGGAGCTGTCGGTGGTTTTGAACTGCAGACCTTGCGGTTCTAAAATGAGTATGTATTAATCAGGAGTCCTAGTGTGGCGCTGTAGGATAAGCACTAGATTGCTAACCGCAAGGTTTGTGGTTCAAATCCACCAGCCACTCCCCAAAAACTCTCAACAGGGCCGGCATGAGTCAGAACTAACGTCCGTGGCACTTAAGAACAACTACAACATAGCAGCATGAGCAAATGATGCGTGTGTATGAGAGAGCGAGGAGGACCAAGAAGATAAAAAAGAGGTGTATAGAGAGAAGCTAAACCATACACACAGATTCTCATCTGTACTACAGCATCATCAGCCTCACTTTAGTTTGTACAATTTCCATAAACTCTGCTTAACTGCAGCAGAAGTTTCTTCACACAACAAGCCTCTGGCCTCTGAGCAAGGACTCTCCGACCTTCCTCATTGCTTCTCCCCAGAAGTAGTACCAGAATCGGCATCTACAACCTGGGTCAACCAAGAGCTCTGTGGTTACATACAGCTGTAAGGCTGGCGGAGTCACTGGATGTGTCAGCAAGAGCACTAGCTCTTCTTGCATGCATTGCTTTGTGTGTCTTTTCCTTGCCCTTCTCCTCCTTCTACCCTGCTCTGTTCACATTAACCATCTGGTCCCTCCATTTTATCCCTCTAAAGTCTACCCAGTCACCCATAGCTACATCTTTCAAAAAGAACAACAGCTGTTCACTGAACAAAAATATCTAAACAATCAGGTTCCCTGGATTTAGGTCTGGTTATTAAGCCCAAAAAGGAAAGCATGACTATTTACCATTGATTTTAAATCCAGTAACTTTATCCTGAAGCAATGCTTCATCCCAGGTTCCCCTATGTCTTCTTGTTTACATGAAATGTGTCAATTAATAAGGAGTTCTGCAGACCAGAGGAACTATGTTGTTGTTGTTGTTATTGTTAAGTGCTGTTGAGTCAATTCCGACCTATAATGACCCTGTATAGGGTTTCTGAGGAGCAGCTGATGAGCTTGAACCACCGACCTTGCAGTTCAAACGGCTTTGCAGTCTGGTGCATTAACCCAAAGCGCCACACCAGGACTCCAGAACGAACTATACAAGTTCTTATATCGTATCTTAACCACAACGACAATCATTATCTTACAACTCAAGGATGAACTTTGTAATTGTTGCTGCTAAGTGCCATTGAGTCGGTTACCACTTATAGCAACCCTGTATAGGGCTCTGGTAGCGTAGTGGTTATGAATCGTGCTGCTAATCTCACAGTCAGCAGTTCGAAACTACCAGCTGTTCTGCAGGAGAAAGATGAGGCTTTCTACTCCTGTGCAGATTTACAGCCTCAGAAACCCTGTGTAGGGTCACTATGAGTCACATAACAACAACAACAACATAGGGTGTTTGAAGGTGGTTGGTGACTTTGGACAGGTGACCTTGTGGTTCAAACACACTTTGTGGTCCAGTGCATGATCCTGAAGCAATTAAGGCTGGTATTATATAAGAAAACTGGTATTATTGTATACTCACTGCTCTTTCAATTTCTAAGTCCTGGTGTGGCTCTGTGGACTGATGCGTCAGACTGCAAAGTCATTTGAACTGCAAGGTCAGTGATTCAAGCTCACCAGCTTCTCCTTGGAAACCCTATACAGCGTCATTATGGGTTGGAATTGACTCAGTGCAGTGACTCCATACAGTAAATACTGGTCTTCAAATCGCAAGGTCCACGATTCAAGCCCCCCAGCTACTCAGTGGGAGAAAGATAAGGCTTTCTGCTCCTGCAAAGACTTAAAAGCCTCAGAAACCTTATACAAGGTCACTATGAGTTGGAACCCACTCATAATACTTAACAACACAATATTAATGGTAAGGGATACAGATACTTGAAAAGAGACTTTCTGTTTTTTGTCTTTTTTATTGTTTTTTGAATGGGCTAAAGATTATTACTATCCTAGTCTGTGTGACAAATGTTCTTTTCCTTGCATTTTTCCAATGGCCTCACTACTAGTTTCTCAGGTTACACCCTTGACCCCTAGAGTTCATTCTCAACCCAGCATACAGAATGTCATCCTGATTAAACAATCAGATCACGTGAATTTCTGTATGGAACTTTCCTTGGCTCCCCATTCTACTGTAAGCAACCCTTTTCCAGTTGCCCCTTAATACCTGTATTACTGGGCCCTTCGCAGTGGACAGTGGGTCCCCTACTTCCACTCTGACCTCTCGTTCCTCTCCATCAACATTCTATAATCACATGGGCTTCCCTCTGCCCGAAATGCTCTCCCCCAACATAGAGCCAAGCCAGGGCTTGCATTCTGTATTTCTTCCAGGTCTTTGATCAGATGTCCTCTCTGGACTACTCTGAATCAAATCTTCATGGTCCCACCGTCAGTCCTACCACTTTCCTCTGCTTTATTTTCCTTTGAAGCATTTATCAACTTCTAAATACTAGGGGAGCACTGGACTGGTAAGCACAATATCAGTCCTCAGAAACTTTATTAAGGGTCCCTATGAATTGGAGGCAACTC